CAGTGTGAAGAAAAAGGGAACTGTGTTACTGAATAGGGTTAGTGAAGGTTGCCCCCCTGCATTCATCTGCCCTCCCATGGTCCTGTCCCAGGTATTTCATGTGAGACTAGCTCCCTGAGCCAGGAATCACCCAGGAGCCTGGCAGAGTCAGGAAAGGGCACCTCTGAACTTACATGGTCTGGAACGCTCGGCAGCAGAGTAGAGCTGCTACTTGTGGAGATTGGGGGGTGTCATCAGTTGGAAGGAAAGATGATTGGCACCATGATTAGATCCCCCAAATCAAGACACATGCCAAGGTGCAAGAACTGGGGGACACCTGGAAATCTGAAAGAGGTAACTGCTGTGAACTCTGCATTGCTCAGCTAGTGAGGTGCGGAGGCCGCTGCTGCTGCAGTCGTAGCATATCTGTCCCCACCTCACCCACCACACTGATGGCTCTTCAAGTGCAAGACTGTGTCTTATACTCCTTGGGATTCCTGGCGGCTGATCAGTGTCTGAAGAGCTCATAGGCAATGGCTATTGAACTAACCACCCTTATTGGTGATATTGCCTGATGATCGACATGCTTTCTGCAATGGGAGTAATATAATTTTGGACAAAATATTCATGTGTTTTCCTTTTTGCCTTTTTTTGGTAGCAGACCTTTGCTTAGTTATGTCTGAAGGGGCTTCCGTCTCCTCTACAGGTGGAGTTAAGACCTCTATCATGCACAGTAGGACCTTCTGGGTCTCTTTGTCCTACTCTCTTTTGGCAGTTGAGCCTGGACGACTTATGTCCACAAAGTTATTTGAGTGAATAGGAGATGCACCTGATGCTCATTAAGGCAGACCTGGAGTCAGGAAGAAGGAAGAGATGATAGAGAGAAAAGAAAGGAAAATAACATCCCTGTAAACCTAGAAATGAAGAAGTGAGAAAGAGGACAGAGAGGGAGGGATGAGAGTGAAGGGCCCAGAAGTGTGTCTTCAGTTAGACAAGTTGAATAGAGCACCAAGGATCATGTCTGGGTCTCTGCGACTGGTCACTCAGCAGTGGCCACCTGCCAGACACTCGGCTCCGTATGGGTGCAGCCAGGGCCCAGCTGAGCCTAGGTGTACTCAGAGACTCAGTTGGTGGGGCTGGAAGTCCCCTAAGCATTTATTTACGGTATATATGCAGAGGGTGAAGAGGGCCTTTAAGAAGGATATTTAGGCATGGTTCCCTGGGGACAGAGATAGATAGAAAAGGAGAAGACAGCAAGATGTCTAGTACTTAAATTGGCCCTGGAGGAAAAGACCGTGGCCTGTGTGTATATGGGGGCTGCAGGCCAAAGCTGGAGGGATTGTTTTCTTTATCTGTCAGGCACAAGTAGAGTCCCTTCTGAGCTTAAGTGTGACTCAGCGTGGGGAGAGAAGCATCCTTGCTTCTTCATGAGGCAAGCTTGGCTTCTGAAAGGACTGTGGCCTGTAAAGGCTGGGATGGATTGAGATGACAAACAGAAATGTCTTAAGTAATGTGAACACTGACTCTACTCCAGTGCAATGTGTATATTAATACTGCCTCATTTTTACCTACAGGCTGGTGAGGCCTGGGGCTATTCGAGGCACACATACTTTATCCCATTTGATGTTTATCATAATCCTGTGAAGTAGACATTATTATCCAAACTTTATAGGTGAGGAAAGTGAGACACAGAGAGGCTGACTTGTTCAGGTGACCCCATTAATAAGTGGTTGGACCAGGATTAACTTCAAAGGGTACCTTCTTAACCACTTCTCCAACACTGCCTTCCAAGCACAATGGTTAACATTTCAGATGACACATCCACCTAGATTATTGGAGAGGCTGAGTTATCCTCTTAAGGCAAAAGTCGTGAAGAACAACCATATCCTTACAAGGCCTTTGGTCTTTTTGGGAGGAATTTTAGACTATAAGGACGATGTCTTTACCCAGGGGGACATTTCTAGCATTCTCTGGGGAGATAAAAAAGGACAAGCTAGGGAATGTCTCTGGGGATAGAAGGACTCCTGTAGTCCCAAGGAAGGGGACATTGCTGCATGATAGTAAGGATGCTTCCCTGTGGAGCTGCAGAGAACTTTATAGTTTCCAGAGCGTTTCCTTTCATATCAATTCATTTGAAATTTCACAGAAAACTCTGTGAAGCAAAAACTTATATGCCCATTTTGCAGATGGGGAATGAGGCCCAGAGAGCTTCAAAGACTTACCCAAGACTACATGGCTAGTAAGTGTAAGAATCATACTAGAAATCTGGTCTCCTGACACCCACTTCGTGGTTCTTTCCTCTTTACCAGGTTGTCCCTTGTGCCACAGTGGGATAATTGTCTTTATCTAATGGAGGCTGACATTATGAGTGAGCCAGTCAAAGGACCAGACATTAGGGTGGTGCCTGAAGAGAGGCAAACATTTAAATGAAAGACATGATCCAGGGTGCAGTTCCAGCCACAGAGCAGTCCCCACTTCATTCAGATCTATGCATTTCATAGATATACAGGCTGACTCTACATTAAGGTTTCCCTAAGACTGTTACATAGAAAACTAGTTTCACCAGATGCTTCATGAGAAATAGAGTTCTGTGGTCATGTAATACATATTGTACCCTTCTTCTTTTAAAGTAGCAATGCATATTAAAGGCTCTATAATGTTTTTAAGCAGAGAAATCTGTTTGACTCTGCTTAACTCAAGGTCTCCAAATTTATTGGAACACAAAACCTTTTTTGAAAGTCATGCTTATTAGCAGTGCCTGGAACTGCCAAGAACAACTAGTTTGCTTTAATCACTGAATTAATGGTTTGATTTGATATCACGTTGGCAGAGCCTTAGGAATTTTTTATGGTTTTATATTCCAGCCTTAAGATTCATATATATATCAGGTATAAAAGGCAGTGTATTTGTAAATAGGCCTTGGTGCTAGTCATTTCATAACTCAAAACCCAGGATTAGATTGTGCCCATGGAAGCATGCTAAAGTCCATAAATTAAAAATGAAATCATTATAATGTTAATAAGCCTTTTTAATATTAGGTATTTTCACTGGTAATTCATGATAGAATAAATGTCAAGGAAAATTATGAGTCTGTGTGTTGCTGCATGATGGTATACATGGTTTGAGAGAATTTACCCATTGAAGGTCTTTAAAATGAGCAAGGCTGACATTTTATGCAGGTTGTTTATCATATTCCTACCTATGGATTGCAGCAGACGCTTGACATCTGTGATGGATATTTCCTGAGACCTTTCTGATTTCTCTAATTGGCAAATATCACTAGAATAAATAATTTCCCTCATAAAACCTTTTTATTCTGACCCAAACCATCATGTTCATGGAGTGCTTCACTCTTTCTTCTCATTCATCGCCAAGGCTGTTTTGTACTTGGTAGTTGACAACGAGCGGGAACATGTAGCTATGAGATGGTGGCCAGACTTCTGGACTAGCTGACTGATCTACCCTCAATGACAGTTTTGCTAAGAGATTTGGATTTATGTTTCAGAAAAATGGTAAATGCTTGCATTTCACGGGCTGTTGGAATTGCTCATAAATACCCAAAACTGTGAATATAAATCTGCAAATGCCAAGCATCTCATGTTCTTTGGGGTTTCAAAGACTTCTTCACCTTTCACGCTGTGCTTGGAGGCAGGTGGATACTCTAGCTTGAGGACAGAAGGAAATTTTTGTGGTTCTGGAAACTCGAGCTTATCTTTATCATTGCCAAGCAGTCTCCACAGCAGGGTTTGTCTGAACTTGAAGGCCATGGATATCTCAACAGCTTCAGGAAGGGATTGCTGTGCTTTGATGGAAAGCCCAGTGAGCTCTGGGGGTAGGCTAAAAAATGAGTTTTCCTGAGCTAAGAAAATAGGATTGTACTTGAAACTACAGCCTGACTCCCACCCTCCCATAACTCTATGCTTTTGAATATTAATCTAAGGCCACCTTTCCCATGATTTATCAGTTTTATCTTTGGGACTCAGAGTCTTTGAAAAAAGCTATTTTTCTTAAATTTTTATTTATTATTAAAAATAAAAGGGCAGGAAGACTTTATCAAACTTGGAAGCTCTCTCTAGATGAATTCCACAGATATATATGGTCTGTTGAAGGCTAGTTCACTCCACACAAATTAAGATAACCAGGCAAGAGGAGAAATGCCCAGAGGCCAATTTGGGGGCATTGAAAATACTCCCAGTATTGACCCTGTGAAATAGCTGGAAAATAAAAACAAAAACCCTTAAAAGCTGATCAGCCATCCTGCTTATGTGGAAAATACATTGATATTTAAACATACGGATCTTTGGAGCTCTGCAGTTTTTATCAGGATGAATGACGTCATCTAACATAAGAGCAGATTCTAAAGAATCCAGAGTATATCCAAAAAGTGGAAACATAATTGAGTTTTGCTTCTTAGAACCAGGACCTCAATCCAACCAGCCACTGTGGGTCTGAGGGCTACTGGGTGCCACTGGCCATTAAAGACACCTTGAGGTCAGTTGAGGAGGTGGGACGAGCTTACTCTTGTGAAAGTCTCCTCAAGCTTCCTACTAAGGACTTTCATAAGCCTTGGGAGTGAAATTCCTCTAAGCCTCCTAGAACCATGGATCCTGCAAATCTTCTACACTAAAACATTTTCTACACAAGTCCCCAGGCACACACAGAACGGTCAAGAAATGCTATTGAAGGAGCTGAGCCTGCTGGCTGATGGGAACACTCACTGTGACATTGTCCTTGCCAGTGGTTTGGAGGCTGAAAATCTCTTTTTTTCCCCAGGCTCAAAGCCTGTTCGTAGAATGACTATCATGATACCTCTCTTTCTCCTGATAGGCTGGGGGTGAAGAGAGGGAAGTTGGGAGAGGGGTTCTGGGCAGTCCTGCAAGGCTGGCAGTTCCCTGTCTAGAGAGAAGTCAGGTAGTTGGTGTTGTCTCTGTCACCTTGCGGGAACATAAAACATGCACTAGCACAAAGCTAGGCTAGCGGCTCTGTGAGGTGGGAAGGCCAGGAGCGGTGGGGAAGCTTACCTTCTTGACTTCGTATTTAATGGCAAGTTTGATCCGGCTCAGACTCGGACGGTGGTGGTCGGACCAGACTTGTAAGTTCACATCACCGTTTAAAATCGCTTCCACCTCTTCTGTGTCTCGGCATAGGTCCAGCACTCCCACCACAAAGTCCTTGCATTGCATAGATAACTTCCTGTAATCATTCTAACAGAATAAAGAGAAATCAGGGGTGTGTCATACGGAACCCCACAGATCAGCTTGCCCAGCACAGCAGTGTTGATCAGCAACTGTCCACCATGTGTGAGCTTATGGAGTGCACTGTAACCAAGAGATGTGCTGGCTCCAGAAGGCAGGGCAATTTCTCTTGATACAACAACGTAGAGGACATCTTCCCTAAGCCAGGATTTGTCAAGGTGTGTTCCATGGGCCACCTGCATCAGAGTCATCTTGGGTGCATGCTATAACTGCAGATTCCCAGGCCCTGTCGCTGACTTATTGAGTCATAATTCCTGGGGAGAGGCCCAGGAATCTGTCTTAACCTTGTTCTAAGTGATTCTGATGCCTGCCAAAGCCCATCCTGGGCTCTTTCAAAGCAGCAGTTCTCCATCCCCCATTCTGAGCCAATTCTGAGGGAGGAGTGATAAGGAAATGAACTTTTAAGGCTGATGGAAATAATACTTCACACATTTACTACCAATCCATAATGTAATTGCTCTCCACAGGAAGTTTACTGGAAAGATATGGCTGATATGCTAAAACTGGAAAAAAATTTACACAGGTGTGCTTTTTATGTGCTGGAAAATCTTGTAAATTATAAATTTAAAAATCAAATGTAATTTAAATCTAACAGAATCCTTTCTTACCACAAATCCTTTTGTACTGCAAATCAGGGCTCCTTAAATTTCTCACCTGTTGAATAAACATTTTTAGAAGTTGACCTTTGTTTTGTTTTGTTTATTCTGGTTTTTTTTTTTTTTTTTATGAGAGCCTCTGGATTTCTCTCTTCTCTTCCCTAGGCATACCTTTCTGAATTTTCTTTAAGAGGCTGACTTCCTTTCCTAGTGACATGCCAACTTCTCTCTCCCCTAAAACAGACTGCTTCAATTCCAGATAATGATCCAAAATGTCAGACAGAAGAATGTTTTGTGTCACCCTCAAACCACTGCTCCCCCAAAATATTTTCCCCTACGGGCTTCCTTATTGGTTTCTTAGTTGAGATGAGTCTATTCAGCAGTGGCACAAGAGCCAAATGTCACTTTCAATGTTAATCAAGTCAACAGCCCTCAGACTGGTAAGTAGTAGTTGGTAAATAGGAGTGCAGTTTTGCTTTTCCAGAACTGGATTCCTCAACAAATAGGTGGGAGCCTGGCAAACTGCGGAAGCTCAGCCATTTTTTAAAATTAAGGATTCTTGTCTCCTTCCAAGGCCACTACATCAAAATGTCCCTTTGCATTAGAGAGAGAGCTAAGTAAATGCTTGTTTGCTAGGAAAAGGAAAAGAATCAAGAAAATGTTTTCAGACAAGAGTGGGCGCCCTTCATTTTTATATATAATTTAGGTAGAAGAAGGGAGGTTCAGAAATGCTGGATAGAAAAATGATTGCTCAGCTCAGGCAGATTGTCCTGGAGAAAAATTCAGGGAAGATACTTGGAGTGTTCTAGGTTTTGGCACCTAGCACAGAGCTGGGCGGTGACGTGAAGAGCTGTGCCCTGTGCTCCTCCATCCCTAACACCCACCATCCCCCATCCATCCATTCATCCATTCATTCATTCACTCTCATTATTGAGGACATACTATGTAACAGGCAATGAACAAGGCAAATGTGGTCTCTGAGTAGTGTCGGGGTAGAGGAGGTTAGGAATCCACTCTCAGGATTGCACAAGAACAGTGCTATGTAAAGTCTGCTCAGACCTTGTCCCAGATAATATATTCTGCGGAGCCCTGATGAGCCAGAGGTGGGAGGCTCAAGGGACACTGGGCTCAGCAAAATGGACAAGGCGGTTCACTTCATCACATGGACCCATTCAACTCTGGCAGTCCTGCTGCTGTGACTCAGGATCCCTGAGTCTCCAGCCCCCACTCCATCAACTTTATTGTCTTTTTCTCGAGAACAAGGAGTCTCTGACTATTATTGCCTATTCCTGGTAAAACGGACACATTCTATTGACTAGATAGGACCTCATCTCTTGGTGGAAACCCCTGCCTAGAGCTGAATGCATGGATGGATACAGAAAGGAAGTAGAAAGGGCTTAACCTAGCCCTTGTCCCAAACTCCCTGTATTAAGAGCGAGTCAGACTGTACTGTCCCAAAGCTTCTGCACATTTCTGGGTTCAGCGCAGTTCAGAACAGAAGGTACCATTTCATTAGAGACTTTCATTTCCCTGGGCTCTTTTGAGCTAGCCTGGCCATAAAAAGGGGAGACACACCAGAGCAGCCAAAGCAGGTAATTTGCTTTTTGCCTTCTGCATTAGACGCTCTGGCTGAAGGGCAACAAGCCTGGTGTCTGTAGATGGCTGGAAGGGACAGAGAGAATCCAGGCCTGCCAGGAAGACGGAGATGACATGGACATGAATAGCTGCAGATGGGAGGGTCACGGCCCGGCCCAGGCTTACCAGAGAGAGCCAGAGGTGAACATCTCTAGGGAGTTAGGATGATTATGATTTATTGATTCACCCTTGAGCTTAGTGAGCCTTCTGAGCCACACTCCTCAACTTTATTGGAGGTAGATGAGACACCCAAGGCTTCACAGGTGCCCTTTTAAAAATAATTTAATATTCCTACACACTGCCAGTCCCAGTGGGTGAAAGATGTTCTACCTGAATCATTTCATTCAATCCTTATAAAAACCTCATGATGGAAGGACTATCACCATTTCCAACTTACAAATGAGAGAACTGAGACTTAGAGAGATAAACTATGAAGCTGAATCCACTTTTATGTGTATTAGTCACTCACTCATCTCTGGGTCACTCTCTTACCTTCCTTGAAGATTTTAGCTCCTGTCTCACTGTCACCCTCCCAACGTTACTGCTGTTATTTTGGTGGTTTCAATATGCAGGAAGATGACCCTCCCATTACCCTACCCTCTCATTTCCTTGACAACATCTTTTCCAATGACCTTATCCTCAACCCTAACTCAGCCACTCATTCTCTTAGTTACTGCCAATAACTGCAGCTCTTCCTTGACCCAACTTCAAGATTCCCTCTTTCTGACTACTACCTCCTATATGTCTAGCTCACTCTTTCTGGGACCTCAACTCTAGCAATCCTTTGATTCCACCAGACCTACAAGCCATTGACCATACCACACCCCGAAGGGGGTGAAAATGCACCTCCTTGCAGAGCTTATATTGCATGGTCAATTATTACAATCATCCCTGCACATATCATCAACTCTCTTGCCCTCTTCTTATTTCATTGTCCTCACTAGATAAAAGCCCCTCAGTTGAGTCTAACTCTCCACTGCTCTGCTCCTGCCTCTGCACAGTAAATGTATCTGGAGAGCACATTGCACTGATCAGGCGTATTGTAAACTCACTACCTCCAACCTCAAGAAGTCCTAGTGCTCCTGTAATTTACTCTCCCTCTCTCCTAAACAAGTGTTTCATACCTTCTCCTCTTCTCAGTCTTCTGACACCTCCTCCCCTTCTTAACTCTCAGATGAGGACCTTGTTTCCTATTTTACCTGAAAAACAGAAGTCATCAACAGAGAAGCTCCACATGCTCACACTGTCACATATTTTACCTACATGCCTCTGTGCTCGTGTACTCTGTTTTCCCTCTTCTTACTGTGGATGAACTGCCTGTGCTCCTAATTTAGGCCATCTTCTCCACTTGTGTGCTGGATATCAGCCTCTTATGCCTATTCAAGGACACGGCTCCTGCAATCTTCCTTTCTTTCTTGTGTATTGTCAATTTCTTCCTTTCCTACTGGCTCAGTATACAAACATGCTGCTATTCTTTTGTCTTAAAAAGGAATTTCTCTTGATCCCACTTCCCTCTACAATTACTACTCCAATTTTCTGTTTTATTTTATAGCAGAGTTCCTCAAGAGACCTGTCTACACTCATTGTTTCCAGTTGACTTCCTTATACTCTTTCTTATCTCATTCAATAAGGCTTTCACACTCACTGCATCCACTGAGACTGTTCTTGTCAAGGTCATAGGTAACTTTCATGTTGCTAAGTCCAATGTTTGGTTCTTACATGACCTATCAAGTGCTTTGACATAGCTGACTACTTCATCCTCCTTGATACACATTCTTCACTTGGCTTCCAGTATGACATACTCTACTGTGTTTTTTCTTCCTGAATGACTACTTTTTGTATTCTTTGTTGATTCATTCTCATCTCCCTGATGTCTTAATTTTAGAATTCTCCAAAGATGTACCCCATCCTTTGAATTCTTCTTCTATTTGTTTACACTCATTGCCTCAGTGATCTTATCTAAGATCACTAGACACCATTCAAATGCCAATGACCCCAAAATTTATATCTTTAGCCCAGCCTTCTCTCCTGAACTTGGCACATATATTCAATTGCTGACTTGATATTTCCACTTGGATGCCAAATAGGCATTTAAAACTTAACAACACTAACTCTGGATCTAGTCTTCTCCATCTAACTTAGTCTTCCCCAATCTTTCAGTTGCTCAGGACGAAAAATTTTGGATTTATCCTTTATTCCTCTCTTCCTCTCATACCCCACATATAATTCAGTAGTAGATCCTGCCAGCTCTGCCTTCCAAATATGTACATAATCAGACCTCTTTTCACCAATTCTGCTATTTCTGTCTTGGTCCAAACCATCATCATTTCTTGCTTAGACTAACCTAAGAGATGCCTAACTGGTCTCCCTGATTCTGTCCTGGTTTTCTGTAGTGTATTCTCTATGCTTCAGTTGGAGAGATACCTAGGAAAAATAGTCAGATCATGGAACTGCTCTGCTCAAACCCTCCAATGACTCCTCATCCACTCAAAGTAAAAGTGGAGTCATTATACTATCCTATAAGGACATACATTATCTAGCCTCTCCATTCTCTCCCTGATTTTATTTCCTATGGTTCTCTCCCTCCCTCAGTCTACTCCAGCAACTCTGACCCCCTACTGTTCTTCAAACACACTTGGCATGGACCAGACCTTTGTACTGGCTGCTCTCTTTGTTTGGAATGCTCTTTTCCCAGGTATCTACATGAACAACTTTCTC